GAGGCGCTTGGTTAGCGACAAATAGATTCTGAGAAAACAGTACAAGAGGACGGTCCGAGAGTTAAGAAGGCTCGCATGTCCACATACACGTAACTAAACAAGACCTGTCGGCAGTAGATAAAACTGAGAACTTTGAAAGTCAAGGAAGATACTGAGACACATGAGATACTGCCTAAGATCTTGTCTTGATCGATTTGGAGAATTGAAACGGTTTGGGAATCTCCTGAGAAACCACCAATCGCAACGGCGAGGCTGCAAGCATACTGCCTAGTCTGAAATGAATGAATCACAAACACTTCTGGGGATGCCAAATCCGCATTGCAATGGCCTGAGCGGAGTTGAATCAAATCATAGAAATGACGTCCCTAAATTTCATCTACGTTAACAACGGATATCAAGATAAGCGAGACATAAGATAGGTAATACTAACAAGAAGAATACGACTTACAATCCTCATAACTCTCTGAATATCTCCTGCTGCCTTCACATTTGCTTGCAACAAGCATCGCGTACTCGGCAACAAAGCAACGTTTTATCTCATCGACATTGAGTGACAAGAGTGACTTCATCATCATTAGTTTTCCAACAATGTGCTCAAAGTTTTCAAGGCGAACCTCGATAGTCACGCACTCAGGCCCGGACCCAAAATCTTACAACGCAACAGCAACAAGGATTCACCACCAATCATTACACAGCTGATGTACCAGCTGAAGTGACAGAAGTTATCGCGGAGAAGCAAAGAGATTGACTCCATACTAATACCGACTTATAACTGACACGTCCAACCCTGTAGACCCTGGAAGCGCTAGAACTAGTCAAGGCACCAGCGCTTACGTCTACAATGGTACAACCACAGGATCAGAATGATGGAAAGCATAATGGAAGGTAATTACATAGGTTCCATGTCATACTCGCCTTCCTCCTCATCAAATTCACCTTCCTCCTCAGCGGTAGCATCCTGGTATTGTTGATACTCAGAAACCAAATCGTTCATGTTGGATTCGGCCTCGGTGAATTCCATCTCATCCATGCCCTCACCAGTGTACCAGTGGAGGAAAGCCTTCCTTCGGAACATTGCAGTGAATTGTTCAGCCACCCGCTTGAACATCTCCTGGATGGCAGTGGAGTTACCCAAGAAGGTCACAGCCATCTTGAGACCCTTGGGTGGGATATCGCAGACACCACTCTTGATGTTGTTGGGGATCCACTCGACAAAGTAGCTTGAGTTCTTGTTCTGGACATTCAGCATTTGCTCGTCGACCTCTTTAGTCGACATTCGGCCACGGAAGAGAGCGGTTGCTGTCAGATATCGTCCATGTCTAGGATCGGATGCACACATCATGTTCTTAGCATCAAACATCTGCTGAGTCAATTCGGGCACGGTCAGGGCGCGATATTGCTGAGAGCCGCGAGAGGTGAGGGGGGCGAAGCCCGTCATAAAGAAGTGTAATCGGGGGAATGGGATCATGTTGACCGCAAGCTTACGGAGATCAGCGTTGAGCTGACCGGGGAATCGCAAGCAAGTAG